ATGATATTCATGGCATAAAAGATTTCCCTTGCTCCCCTGCTGAAGACAAAGTTATTAGCAGCAAAGAAAGAAACAAGTCTTGCAACACAATACATTTTCTCCCCTTCTTATCCTCTAACATCTCCAACCACAGTCAAGGTTCTTTAAATTTTCTCTGCAGTTCTTTTATTTGGTTAATAGGCTGTCTGCTAAGGGAGAATGAACTGTTATTTCATGATTTGGTGTATTCAATTATGTCAGAGTTTTCTAGTACAGTATCCTTATTTTAAATATATCTCTCATCTTGAGAAATCATTTAGTGAGCAGCTTCCACATGAGGTGGGTAGGAAAAGAGCAGTTGCTAGCAGGTTTTACATTTAACCTTATATCATAAAACCTTATAGAAAAATATTCCCCATAAGTTCTTTACCAATTATTTTCCTAATTTTCTCTGTCTCCTGATTTCACAATTTTGGTTGTTCGAGGAGTCAAGAGAATAGGCCAAGCTTGGGTTTAGCCTCTGACAGTGAGCTGGAGGGTGAACAACCCCTGGGTAGATGAGCACAGAGAAAGAAAATAAGTAAGGCACAGGACATTTTGGAACTTAGTGAAATTAAATGCCTGCCACTGTGCTCTGACAGCTCTGCAGTTATGGAAAGCTGGCAAGCACAGGATTATGGAGCTGGACAGCCCCATGGGCTGAGTTTACAAAGAGAACTGATGAGAAAACCCACTACCAGCATCATGACCTTGATCAAGCATTCAAGACAACGACTTATTGCAAATGAATAGCAAATGATGGAATTAAAACCCCCGCAATCCCTGTGGAAGGCACTGCAGTGACTCCTCAGGTTTCCTGGACACAGGTGATGAGTTACTTGTTGCATATTGAGGAAGGGTCCTGGATAAAATGGAGGAAATGAGGTGGAGAAAATACAGAGACAAGCAGAGACATATATCTGACAGTTTCTTCCACTTTATTTAGCACAGAGCTCTCCCACAGTGCTTCTGCCTTGGGTCTGCTGCAGCCTTGCACTGTTTCCTATCCCACTGTGTCTTTAAAAGGATGAACATGCTGGGACTCACTCCAGTACATACAGAGTTCTCAAGGATGCTCTTCTTCCCCTGCTTTTAACTGACAGTCTGGCAAAATACAGACCAGATGTGGACATTGGGTGAAGTTATTGGTGGATTTTGGAGATTTCTCTCCTCCTAAAAAAGGCTATGACCTATTAATTGAAGACTTTTTAGAAGACTGCACAGTCATTTCTGTACTCTGCTGTGTTGGATGTTGTTTGCTGAGTATGGCTGTTGTTACTGATCTATATGAAAGCAGGAACTTGTTGTAGACCTGTTAAACTGAAATTGCTTAACCACAGAAACCCCAGCAACACACAGAGCCCACACAAACCTTTGCTTTCCTATTCAAAGAATTGTTAACCAGCTTCCCACATGTTCAAACAAAACAGTTTATTCTTTACCTGGGCACTGTGTGAAGGGACAAAATATTAACTCTTGGGCTATTTTTACCATTCTTTGGGAAAAGGAAGGTGTAGCATGTAGTGTTTACATAAAATTAGAGTCTGATCAAAATAGATTCACACTAATTTCCAGAGAATCTTTTATAAGAATTTCTACTCCTGGCATGAATATTTCAAACAGAACAACCCAAATACATATGTGTGCACACTGTTTCTCTCCCAGGTGTGTTTTTGCCATCTGGATACACAAGGCTTGCTCACTGCTGTCCATAGACATGCAGACATGACCAAGAAAGGACTGTTCCTCTGCTGCTCACAGGAATTGCAATTTCTTGTCTTGGTCTTCTGACTTGAAGAACCAGGGCTGTGTGGGTCATAGGCATCTTTGGTTAGTTTTCACTGCTGAGGACTAATCCTTATTTGGTTTTCAGGATGACAACAGACAAACTGGAGAGAGAGCAGAGAAGCGCAAGGCAGTGCCTGTGGAGAAAGCGTTTAGGATGCACACAAATCCATGGGCAACGTAAGGGTAGGATGATGGCAGATGTATGGAAGGCACCTCTTCTCTGCCACTTGTGTGCACACATACAGCCTGATTGCAGGTACTGCATCTTGAATTGCACTTGGAAGTGCTCAGGAATGAGTAGGATGTTTAGCTCCTGGTTCCTGTCAGTTCATTCCTCGCTCAGAAAATGACTGTGGATGAGAAAACAAGGCAAGGTATTGCACAGAACTGTCCTCCCTTCAGCTGCAGCCCCGTTTGCATGTGTGCCAAGCAGCTTGAGGAAAATGCTCTCCAAGGTTTCCTGCTGGGAGCAGTAGTCTCAGCATCTCAACTGGCCTCTGCATTTTGATGACTCTGTTACAGGGAGCTTTTCCTCCTGACAGACTTTGGATGCACATAAAGCTCAGTTTCAGCCTCAAGTTCCTGCATCATCCCAGAATTAAATTGGGAGAGGTAGGTGACCAAGCATGTCTGTTTAAAAGAAAATCTTGCTTAGATCTCACAAAAATGTGAAAGGAAACAAAATATAAACAGGCTTCTGTAATTTCTGAGGAGATTTAATGATGAATGCCAGTAGCCAGGAGTAAAAATGTACCTTTCTCTCCCAAGACCTTCTACTTATTAGGTATTATCAACAAGCTAATTGTTGATACAATACTGAATGCTACCCTGAGTGTGTCTGTTTGGGTGGGAAGTAGAATATGTCACATTTCTACCTTTTCTCCAGCTACTTCTCTCTGCAGAAAACCCTGTTATGAATCTGTCTGCCTGTTAGCTTTTGCTCTCCTTTTGCTAAGCTGAAGAAGGAAAAAAATACACGCTGCTGTGGCAAACAACAGACAGGAGGAAAAATCAAAAGAGATGAATGAGGTTCCATCACAGTAGGAAATTTAAGAAAAGGTTAGAGATGACATTAAATGGGCATGGTGTGTAGCCTGAAGTAATCTTGTAAACTTCAGGGAACCAGGCCAGGTACTCCAACTTGCCCTGTCTGCCTCTGCTGTCTTCCAATTACTATCTGCCATCAGCCTATACAGAAAATGTCTCCTGATAGTGATAGAACCTCAAGCTGGATCTCAGAAAATGGGTACAACCAAGTGATTCTAGGATGTAACCCCTTAAAGTGTTTTATTCCTGAAGCACATCATCATCTTGGATCCCAGTCTTGACCTTAACTTGTGCTTATGTTATACTTTAAAATTCCCCTCAGCTTGCTTTGGATGGTGGTCCTGACATGTAAGCCTAAATATTAGTGAGTTTGACATGATATAGGCTAGGCCAAGTAGCTTAGGAATCACTTAAGATTTGGAGGAGAAGTTATTTTTCATGACTGTAAATTAGAAAGAGAAATATATGACATACTGAAACCCTAATAATGAAATTGTGCTGCATAACTAAGTTTCCTTCTCAGATAAGTTCTACAACACCATAAACATACACCATTGGGGATAGCCACTTATAACAGAAACATCAAGAATTATTTACTTAGACTGTTATTTCAGTTCTCAAATACTTATTCATTTCACAGTTTACTTGGTTGAGATACAGTATTTTAATATGCTTCTTGTTTGATGTTTAATTCAGTCTCTGAGTAGTTGTTTGAATGTGGTGGGAGCAGTGATCTCTTTGAAACTGCCAAAATGCTCTTTCACCTACTAAATAAGCAAGGAATTAGTTTAACATCCAGATAAGGTTGCTGATTAAACAAAACTGGCATCTTGATCTTTACACCTGCATTTCTGTGCCTGCTGCTAAAATAGTTATAAACCAGCTATCTTCCTAAATGAATTTTATTCTAGACCTCTGCTCTCCAATTCATTATTTTAAAAATGTTTGAAAAATTCAGCTTAAACTATATGCAAATCCTGCTAAACTGGGCCCTTTATATACACACATCCCCTTTTATGTGAACAGTACTTTGTTAATGGCTCAATAATTAAGAGAGTTTACATTTTAAAGACTTCAGTTTTTAATTGGCTGAATATTAATCACAGATCGCTTTCAGTTGTGTTGTGATATGCAAATTATTGATGTCTCAGCTGCATTTGTTTTCAGGTATCAGTCTAACCGCATAATGCAAAATAACATTCTGCAATTATTTCAATTAGATGCAGTCAGCCTTTGGAGCAAGCTATTTATTTCATTTCAGTAAATGAAGAAAGCAGTTGCTGTTTTCCATTCCCTGGCGTTTATTGCCCAGAACTAGCACTCACAACCGGTATGTGTACAGCACATAAACAGTTTTCTAACTGGATCACGTTAGCATTCGTGGTAAAGGACAAGCAGCTGAACTCCCCTTGCAAGATTTCATTTGGTTAACTGACTCTTCTGCTTCGGAATGCGATGTCACCTTGTTTGAGGGTATTCATTACCATTTTAAAGTGTATTATGAAAGCTAGAGTCAATAGGAGTTGTTAATTAGCAGAATCTGTTTAGCACCGGTGCATAACATTTGAGGATTTTTTCCATCAGACTGCAGCTGTTACCTACGCAGAGAAGGAATTTCACCTAACCACAAAGAATGAGATAGACAAATAGCTGCGTTGTCGTAAGAACGGCTCGGGTATGTCTCCTCTCAGCGATTTCGCTCCATAATTGCAATTCACATTAAATGCAGCAAATGTTACCATCCTGCCCACTCAGTTTCCACCTCTACTTTTGTTTCAAGCCGGGAGGGGAGATCACCAGAAAAGAGAGGGGGGGAGTCCTTCCTTGCCTTCTCCCTCCTTCCCCGCTCGGCTCTCTCAGCCGCGCTGCCCTGCGGCTCCCGGGGCGCGGGGTCCGCCCTGGCCCCGTCCCGGCCGGGGCTGCACTTGTGGCTGCCTCTGCCGCCCATGGCAGCGCCGCGGCTCCCGGCGCGGCCCCGCCGCTCCCGCCGCTCCCGCCGCCCCGGGGGGCTCCTCCCGCCCCGCACGCCCCGCCTGGGCTCGGCGGGGGCGCAGCGCTCCCCGGGAAAGGTACCGGCGGCACGGCGCCTCCGGGCTGCGGGAGAGGCTCCGGCCGTGGCGATGCGCCGGGATTGCTGCCCCGGAGCGGCGTCTCCCTCCCCGGCGGAGCAGCGCTCGGTGCGTGCGTGCATGTGTGTCTGTATATGCGTGTGTGTGTGTGTGTGTGTGCGTGTGTGTGCGGGTGTGCGTGTGGCGAGGGGAGGGGGCTCGCTGCGTGCAGGGGGTGGGCGAGAGCAGTGCGATGGGAGCGGGCGCCCGTGTGCAGAGGGATCCTCTCCCCGCATGTGTGCGGGGGACCGCGGCGGGGCAGGGCTCAGCCGGGCGGCTGCTGCATGCGGCGGAGCCCGCGGGGTTCCGCAGCGCCGGGCTTGCCCTCGCTCCGCGCGGCCGGCGGTGCTGGCCCCGGCGGGCGCCCCGGCTGCCCCCGCCGCCCGCGGCGTGCGCGGAGCCGCCGGAGCCCGGAGCTGGCGGGGAGAGCGGCGGAGCGCAGCCGAGCGGAGCCGCGGCGACCCCGGGCGCCGAGGTAGGGACGGTGCCGGGCTGGCCGCGGAGAGCCGGGAGCATCACCGAGGGCGGCGAGCGCCCGCCGGGCGTGTGAGTGCGGGCGGGGGTGGGGGCACGGCGGGGCCGCCCGTGCGTTGGCGTTTTAATTTCTTTTTAATCATTCCGAAGGTTCTGTTTTCATTGCTATAATAATTACCGGTGCTGTTTTAAAGACGGCCAGGGGTGGGGTGGGGGGAGGCGGGGGTGCACGCGACGAGGCGACAGTGGCTCCCTGCCGGAGCCTCTCTGCCATCGCGCTCGCCTCTCCCGGAGCCCCGGCCAGCGGCACCAGGCGCAGCGCTGCCCTCTCCCATCCTTCCCGGGAGAGCGGGCGAGCGGAGGCACCGGGGCCGGGCGGCCCGGAAAAGCCGGCGGAGGTGTGGGAGGGACGGGGGGGCAGGATCTGCGCAGTGGGGCTGGGGAAGGGGGTGTGTGGCTCTGCTGCGGGCTGGACTTTTGCAAAGGTACCGGGGCGGGGGGGCCCGTGCGTTCAGCGGCGGGGAACGCGGCCGTGCCTGGTTGCGAAGGGACGGCGGAGGGGATGCGGGGCTGCTCCGCTGCGCTCTGCCCGCTCCCGGCCGGGATGTGCGAGCGCGCCCGTGCCCCTGCCGCCCTCCCCCGCCGGGAGCCAGAGGGCGACGGGGCGCCCACGGCAGAGGGGAGCCGGCACCGGCCGAGCCGGATGCGGCAAAAAATTGCGGTAGTGCCGGCACTGCTGGCCGGGCTCGCCGCCCCGCCGCCAGCCCCGCGCAGCGCCCGCAGCCCGCCCGCTCCGCACCGGCCGGGGCCCCGGGGCTGAGGAAGAAGAGGGACTCGAGCGTGGGCGAGGCAGGGATACGGGAGGACGGCGCCTGCCAGGGGGAGGGAGACGGAGCGGCGGGGGCGCGGGGACACCGGTCCGCCCCTGGGGGCGCGCTCGCCGCGGCCGGGGTCGGCAGCCTGCGGGCATCGGCAGCCGCTGCTCCGCTTCCCCCTTCTCCCGAAGCGGCCCCCTTGACCCCTTCCTTCGGCCATCCGCTCCTCTCATCCTATCCTCTCTCCTCTGTGCTTTTCCTCTCTCTCTTGTCCTTCTGTCCTGAGGTCCTTCCTCATCCCTCCTCTCCCCTCCCTGCCAGGACCCCCGGCGCATCCTCCCCTTGTGTCTCCCTCCAGCCCGGTTCTCCTCCCTCCAGCTGGCTCCTGCTTTCTCCACTTTTCATTCTGGCTCTCTCCTGCCAGCTCAGTGGCTTCCTACAGCAGGAAATGAAAGGGACAAGTTGGGAAATGGGGGTAATGGGAAGATGGAATGTGTGTGTGTGTGCAATGTATTGATTATTGACTGATTTATTAAAAAAAGGGGGGGAAAAAAACCCTACCTTATAACTCAGAGGAATTGCTGTGGCTCGAGTTCTTCTGCGTAAAAAATGGCAGTTCAGCTGGCTGGACTATATGCAAAGGGTTCTTATCAATGCAGGATTAAGAGCAAATTACATAATGTTTTAGGGGGGGAAAAATAGTTCTCAGATTTCAATAGTGTCAGACTGGCAAATTGTGATTTTGTTTTTCCCTGCAAGTCAGTGTATTGTTATTCCTGGGGATGGGGCTGTGTGCTTGTGCATGCTTCTTCCATGTCTGAGTGCTTCCATTGGTCACCCAGAGCTGATCTTATTTTGTGAATAGTTGTATTTCTGCAGTCAGTTTACCACCTACTTATTTAAACTAGATATCAGAAGTGACAGAAACAATGTGTGTGCATGCCTATGTAGCCCTTGAGTGAATATCTTTATCATAGTGATACGTCTGTATGTGCTGCTGCTTTATACACATATACTGAGCATTGGCATTGCTTTTTAGTGTCAGCATCTCCATCCCTTCTATATTGTGCTATCCCATCCTAGATGTTTGGGCATGCATAACACCAGCATTTGTGTTTAATATCCCTGAAATGCACAGCAACATATGAGCAGTCCACAATTGAGGGGAGTAAATATGCATAAAATTGGAATCTCCTTTGGTTATTTTACTTTATTAGTTATGCATGCTTGGCATGTACAAGAGAGAGAAATACATTTGACAGACCTGAGAGTTATTTGTGTTTCTCTACAGAAATTTACATTCTGTGTTTGAAATCGTCCCAGCTCCCATGCATTTGTTTGGTTGTTAAAGTCTTTCATGTTATTTTAAATTCAGTTCTTGTAGTTTATCTATAACACTTGGCAGGTACAGTAGCTCAGTGGTATACAATTTCTAACCCATGTGACGTTTTGGAACAATGTCAACTGAAAAACATTTTCTTTTTCTTTCCTTCTTTCTTCTTTAGATTCTTTATCTTTGTTCAGGAGCCTAAAGTTGCTTGCTGATCATAAGAAGATGATTCTGTGGCTCTTTCTGGTTCTGTCATCTCCAGTTTCTTCTACAACTGCAGATGCTGATATATCTGTGGAAATTTGCAATGTTTGCTCCTGTGTGTCAGTTGAGAATGTACTCTATGTCAACTGTGAGAAGGTTGCAGTCTACAGACCAAATCAGCTTAAACCACCATGGTCTAATTTTTACCACCTCAACTTCCAAAACAACTTGCTAATTATTCTATATCCAAATTCCTTTCTTAATTTTACACATGCAGTGTCCTTGCAACTGGGTAATAATAAGTTACAGAACATTGAGGGAGGGGCCTTTATGGGTCTTAGTGCATTAAAACAGTTGCACTTGAACAACAACGAATTAAAGATTCTCCGGGCTGACACTTTCCTTGGCATAGAGAACTTGGAGTATCTCCAAGCTGACTACAATTTAATCAAGTTTATTGAACGGGGAGCCTTCAATAAGCTTCACAAGCTGAAAGTCCTGATACTTAATGACAATCTGATTTCATTCCTTCCCGATAATATTTTTCGATTTGCTTCTCTAACCCATCTGGATATACGGGGGAATCGAATCCAGAAGCTGCCATACATTGGAGTTCTGGAACACATCGGGCGAATTGTTGAACTGCAGCTGGAAGACAACCCCTGGAATTGTACTTGTGATTTGTTGCCTTTGAAAGCGTGGCTGGAGAACATGCCCTATAACATCTACATTGGAGAGGCTATCTGTGAAACACCCAGTGACTTGTATGGAAGGCTGCTGAAAGAGACCAATAAGCAGGAGCTGTGCTCCATGGGGACAGGGAGTGATTTTGACGTGCGCATCCTGCCTCCCTCGCAGCTGGAGCCCGGCTACAGCACGCCCAACGGCCACACCACTCAAACATCAGTGCACAGATTAGTCACAAAGGCACCAAAGACTACAAATCCTTCCAAGATCTCGGGGATAGTAGCAGGCAAAGCACTGTCCAGTCGCAATCTCAGTCAGATCGTATCTTACCAGACCAGGGTGCCTCCTTTAACTCCTTGCCCGCTCCCTTGTGTTTGCAAAACTCATCCTTCAGACTTGGGATTAAGCGTAAACTGCCAAGAAAGAAACATAGAATCGATGGCTGAACTCGTACCAAAACCTTTAAATGCCAAGAAACTGCATGTAAATGGCAATTATATTAAGGATGTGGATACTACAGATTTCGCTGAGTTTGAGGGGCTGGATTTGCTACATTTAGGCAGCAATCGGATTTCAGTGATCAAAGGAGATGTTTTCCGCAACCTTACAAATTTACGGAGATTGTACCTCAATGGCAATCAGATAGAGCGTCTGAGCCCAGAGATGTTTGCTGGCCTCCACAATTTGCAGTATCTGTATTTGGAATACAATGTTATCAAAGAAATCCTAGCAGGCACCTTTGACTTAATGCCAAATTTGCAGTTGCTCTACCTGAACAACAATCTTCTGCGAAGCTTGCCAGCCTATATTTTTGCTGGTGCACCACTTGCTAGGCTGAATCTGAGGAACAATCACTTCATGTATTTACCTGTAAGTGGTGTTCTTGATCAGCTAAAGTCTCTTACACAAATAGATTTGGAAGGTAATCCGTGGGACTGCACTTGTGATTTAGTTGCTTTAAAACTGTGGCTTGAGAAGCTAAATGACGGTATTGTGGTGAAGGAATTGAAATGTGAGACGCCTGTGCAGTTTGCTAACATAGAACTTAAGTCTCTGAAAAATGAGATTCTCTGTCCTAAACTTTTAAACAAGCCATCTGCTCTGTTCACTAGTCCCATGCCTGCTGTTATTTTTACCACACCCCCGGGACCAGTCCGGAGTCCTCCTGGTGGCCCAGTTCCATTGTCCATCCTAATCCTGAGCATATTGGTTGTGCTGATTTTAACAGTGTTTGTTGCTTTTTGTCTTCTTGTTTTTGTGCTTCGGCGCAACAAAAAACCAACCATAAAGCATGAAGGGATTGGAAACCAAGAGTGCAGTTCTATGCAACTGCAGCTAAGAAAGCACGATCACAAGTCAAACAAAAAAGATGGACTGGGTGCAGAGGCCTTCATTCCTCAAACCATTGAGCAGATGAGCAAAAGTCATACCTGTGGCTTGAAAGAGTCTGAAACAGGCTTCACGTTTGCTGACCCACCAGGGCAAAAAGTCATTCTGAGAAATATGAATGACAAGGAGAAAGATTTATTGCATGTGGATTCCAGAAAAAGACTTAGCACAATCGATGAACTGGATGAGTTATTCCCTGGAAGGGATTCCAATGTATTTATTCAAAATTTTCTTGAAAGTAAAAAGGAATACAACAGCATAGGGGTCAGTGGCTTTGAAATACGTTACCCAGAGAAACTGCAAGACAAAAAAGCCAAGAAATCTCTAATAGGTGGTAATCATAGTAAAATTGTAGTAGAACAAAGAAAAAGTGAATATTTTGAACTAAAAGCTAAACTTCAAGGTTCACCTGACTACCTACAAGTCCTTGAAGAACAAACAGCTTTGAATAAAATATAGGTCATACAATCTTATTGCCTACAGAGGACATTTATTTAATGATGAAAGTGCCTTTTGTTGACTTTTAACTTCCAAATACTATATTATATTGATAGGCATAGAGGCAGGTGTATCCAAGGGTGTCTGATTAACTGTAGCCGTGTATAATTTGTCAAGTAGAGGAGAATTTCCTTAATAGATTTTACTCCATAAAGCTCATGCCCTGTGGAATCCTGTAGGGATACTGCAAACTCTATTGCCAAAGGGATGCTTTATACACGTTACACTGAATTTAACCTCAAGAGGCATATATGTTTTGTATCTCAAATGCAAACCATCGTCTCCTTGTGATTTGTTAGAACAAACACAAGAAACCTGGTACTGATATTTGTACTTCAGCTGGGTCCTTCATCCTGCACGTGGATTTAAGTTGGTGGAACTGGAGTAATCCTTTGATTTGTGGTGTTCTAATGACACTGTTTAAAGCTTACCTGGAAAGTAACAAGCATGCAAAGAGAGAACATTCAATAGTATGTGTAAATTGGTTACATTTATGGGCTGCATCTTGAAACCACTGGAATTATAATGTTAAATTGTGTTTAAAATATACCATGCATTACATACCTATGAAATAAATCTGACCACTTGAAGCATACATGTCTATACAGAAAATTAAAAAAAAAAGAGAGAAAGAAAGAAAATAGTTCAACCTGACTTCTGCAGTATTCGTGACATCTGAAGAAAATATTTGATATTTATGCAGAATCTGTTCTAAGACTCATCTCTAATTAAAACTAGAGCTCCTTCTCAGTTACGTGAAACTCTCGCAACCCCAACAGGTTGTCCAAAATTGTCAAAGTGCTTACTGTGTGAGCGTAGCAGAAATTATTTTTGTAATATAATTCATATTTATGAAATACTTTGTATACTACATAGGAAAAAATATGTACTCCTTAATATGTATTTAATATGCCTGACTTGTTTTCCTGATCACAATGCATTAATCATTCAGTATAAATAAAACCAGAACAATATACCAAACAGCAACCGGGGATGTAATGTATAGCATCATCCAGAATTAAGTGATCAGATAATAATGATAATAATAATAATAATGATAATAATAATAAAATTGTTCTGTACTATTCTCGTGAGATTAGCATATTACCTTATTTCAGATCTGTTACCAATGGTGCATTTTGAAATAGATTGATTAGTTTTTTAGTACTGTGTCCCAGGCTGTTACTTGCCATCAGTTTTCTTGCTTTTCAGGTCTCTATACAGCTTAATCTGAATACTTTTCACAAGCATTTACAGGAATTCATGCTAAGGGGAATATTTTTATTGTACATGCAGAAGTTTTCTGTTCTTATCTCTCTGGCTGCTTTTAGTCAGCAAAACCTGATCAGAGCAGTGAACAATATGGCAAATCCTGTTCAAAACCACAGTGCAAAATGGATATAGTGGTCTCAGTTCAGAGGACTGTGTAGCTCACAACTAGAGAGCAAAAGCTTGCCTTTGTGAAAGCTGAATCTGAATAGCCAGGAAAAAAGGTAGGAGAATGGAAAATCCCCATTGTATCTCACTGATAGATGGTACTTGGACATGAGAATGGAGATACTTTGGTAAAGCATCCTAGAGCAAATCTATGAGATGAGATTAACAAAATTTCTTTGACTCAATGAGCTTTGGATAAGACCCTCTTATCTCCTTTGCTTTCAGAACCTTTACCCCTCCTTACCTTTTATAATCAATACATTAGTCAATTAAGATAGTAGGATATAAACATGAACGTTTTTCATGAATTTGATGCTAGCAAAAATTAGAGCAAGACTCAATAATAATACTGTGAAGAAGGCTGTGTCAGCTATTTCCAATATAAACCTCTAATTTCAGGGCTTTGTGACACTGAGTTGAAATTTTTATTCTGGAATGATACTTGGCAAACAGCCTGCAGTATATTTTTATCAAAATAGACCAAAAAAAAAAAAAAAAAAAAAAAAAAAGCACTGCCTCTATATTTAAGGGAAAGCAAACAAAACATTTCTCTACTTTCAGACATTTGTTTATGCTCTTTTGGCTTAGAAAGAGACTGGTTTTATTATTTTTCTCCATACTGCATAGTATATACATGACTTCAGATAATAAAATTGCAAGAGATGAATTAATGGCTGAGTTTCTTTAAAAAGCTGCCTCTATCCATGCACAATAATTAACTTGATTCAGAATGTCATGGGGATTTTGAGGACATGGATACTGCGTACACATGCAGTTCTGGCATAAAAAGCTCCTGGTTCGCCAATGATGCAATAATGCATGGCTAAGTTTTGGATGAGAACATGTGAGGTTATTTATTGTCTGTGGATTAAGGAGTGTCCATGGTGCACTGACCAGGTGGACTCTGCTGGCTCCTTCAGTAGGCTGAGGGTGACAGGTCCTGGTCTGCTCTGCACAGAGCTGTGTGGCCTCGAGGATGGGTCCAAGTTCACTGGGGTTTGCCAAAGCAGAAGGTGTCTGACACACTCACTGGCATGTCCTGTATGGTCCTCCTGAGAGCAATGTGCTAAAAATATTAAAAATTGCAAGTAAGGAATTACTTCTAAGTGATGGTAAAACTGATGTGCTTGTGACTTGTGCTGCCCTGAGTCAAAAGAACAGAGATAAATGATCATACCTTCCTAAGCTAAAAAAAATGAGGCTTTTTTAATTTCATTTTGTGTTGTGAGGTTTTCTGGGGGTGTTCTTTCTGGGTTTTTGGTTTGGTTTGGTATTTTTAATTTGTTTGAGGTTTTTTTTTTTTTTTTTTGGTTTTTGGAGTGGTGTCTTCTGTTTGCTGATCAAAAGAACTGAACTGTTATGCTGTACCATTACACTGGGTCAGAGTTTTCTGATCCCTGAGGCCCCAATTCCAGTAAAGCATTTCACCTCAACCTAAATCATGTGCAGGGGTACTATTCATGAGATAATAATTAGATACCTGCCCAAGAGTGGGGCTTAGCTAGAGTTTTGTCATTGACTTCAGAACAAGCCAGCTCAGAACCATTGTATATAATCCATAGAGCCCAGAGACTCGTCTGGGGTTATGCAGTTGAGTGTAGGTTCACCAGCATCAGTAAAGGTTGCACAATCTGGACCTTCCTGTAGAAATTGTCCCTAAGTGTTTTACAATGTATGGTGCAATATGTAGGCATAATAGTGTGAGTGAAGAATGCAGAAGCTGGCAGAACACTATTTTTCTGTGAAATTGTTACTTTGAATGGCAACCTTAGTGTCAGGTTATTTTCTCCATGTTTGGAAACGGTGTATGTGTCTGCACAGCAGTTTTAGTGTGATGTCCATTCAAATCTCTGGTCAGTCTTTCTGAGAAGGTGACTCTTGGGTGTGGCTTAACGGGTCTGTCTGTTCATTATATTGGTTTGAGTGGCCATGCTTGTAAAATGGCTGTTAAGACCCATAGACATAAACTAAATCAGTGAAGGTGTTGGCATAATCTGTTGTCTCCATTGTATTATAAAGAAGTTTCCATTTTTAAATGAAATCAATAAAGTGTACTCGTTTCCTTGAAAAAGAAAAAAAATTGTGCAATTTTATCAGACAGCAAATACCGCGGTGCAAGAACACAAGAACAGGTGATTTATGTTTTGCATTTAGTGTTCAAGATTGACAATAATGCAACAATCTAGTATAAATATATTTTTAAATGCTTTTTTTTTAAAGCCATAATGATGATATAAATTATAAAGGCATGGCCTTGTGAATAATGTTAACAAATGTTTCAGAATCAAGAAAAAACATCCAGAACTTGATGGTGGTATAATATCTATAATATCTTTTGCATGATTTGTATGTTGATATTGTATGAAATGAGCACAGTGAGACTTTTTTTTTTTTTGGTTGCATCCAAAGAGTTAGGAAGGAAATATAACAAGAATGTATTTATAATCACTCTATTTTGAAATAAAGTAAAGAAAACAAAATGTATTGGCTTTACCCTGTTTTGATCATTACTATTTTAGGTTAGTTTATAATTTAGGCAGTTACTTATGACATCCAGTCCAATGTAAAACACAGAAACCTATTGTTTATCAATTTTGTTTGCCTTCATCAATATCAAAATACTAGTCAGTGTTGACTTCAAAATTTGTATGAAATATTAATAAAATTGTTTGGTACTATTGTATTTCTGAAACTAGACTTTGTTAAGTGCCTGTGATATTCTCTTTTGGATTATTTGTATATGGATGAGAGAGAATCTGTAAAGCAGTTATGCAGTAATGTTTTTTAACCATATCAACAATTTTTTCTTTAGTTTAGAAGGTTTTCCTCATCTTCTGTTGTCCAACAAAATCTTTCTTCCTCCTGTTGTGCAAATAATCCCTCCAAAATCAGTGACTTTTTTTCCATTACTACCACAAGCAGAATTTAGTTTTCAGTTGGATTCTCAGTTCTTCAACCCAGAAGTGCTTAGAGGAACAATTACATAATGTTAGGGGCATTAGCTTTGATTCTGCTGGCTTCTTATTAGTCATTTTCAATAACAATTTTTCAGGGGAAAGAAAAGTTAATTTGTCCCTAGAAGAAGCAAAAACACCCATCCATCTACCATTTCATTTGGTTAGGTTGGTTTTATAACTGAAAGTTGCAAAGATACCTTTAGGTAGTTTAACTTCCAAATTTATATTTTGTAGTTAAAATGGTTTACAAAGCCTCATAAAAATCTTCATGGCAAGGGAGAAGAGCAGGAACAGAATTACATTTAGATTAAGCATTCCCTGTTGTGCAGGGTTTAACATGCATTATAATGGCAGTGAGTGTGAATCAGAATGGGATATGGACTGGAAAATCAGGACTTGATACAGATTTTTTTAACTTCTAGTTGAAGTGTAACATTAGGAACAAACCCACAGCATTAGTTGAGAAAGGCCTACATATAATATTCCATATAATTTCTTTCTAAAGGAAAACTCGAGAACCAGGAATTAATTATTCATGTTTTGATAATAAGTGTGCACTGCTTTCCTGAATGCAGAGGAACTTGAGAGTTTTCTGTTAATATGTTTTGTCATTATTAGTTTTTATTTCCAATTTCAATTCACTCATCCTTATGTATTATGGTTGATGCTGTGTTGGAAAACAAAAATAAGACTATTGTTGCTCAGGGACAAACTCTTCTCAAAAATTTATCAATGGAAATCCAGACTGGCTGAACAGACTTTAATGGAGTAAAAACTGCTGTTACCCTAGTGAACAAAAAAGCAGGAACTACAAGATCTATCCATCATTGAAATAAAAATAAGTAATTTTTGACTTGAAAAGTAATATAATCTTGCTTTATACTCTGTTGATTTGTGTGGTAAAGCTGTTACTGTTTTCAAACGACTGTAGGGAGAGCAGAGACCGAGTGCAGTTCTGTGTCTGTTTGATGTCAGTGGAACTCTGCAGTGATTCAAGAGCTGTGGGCATCCCAGAGCTGTACTATGGGCACAAAACTATATAAATTTGCTGGTTTATACATACACTTGGGGTAGATCTCACATAAAATAGAAATGCTTTCTTAACAATACAATTTACTTTCTCCCTGTAATGGAGCAAAGTTACTCCGCGCTTGTTTTCCATTAAGTAGGCAGTTTATTGCAAATATCTCTGTTTCACTGCTAATTTTATTTGTATTCACTAGCAATACTTAGATAACTAAATCATTGTCTGAAAGCAATACATTTCAGTCTGTTATTTTTAAAATACCAGCCACTGGTAACAGACAGATACTGAGTTATATTGAATTGATACTGAGTTATATATGAATTTCCATTCCCTAAGTAATAATTCCATAAATAATTCCTCAAAAGCACAAATAAAGATCAGATAAGAAAAAAAAGTCCTAGCTGTTCAAAAAATCGGAATTTTTTGAATGCATGTATGGGAAGGCTTAACAGAGTGCAGTACAACTCTGATGGGTAACAAGTGGTACCTTAATTCTTTTTGGTCTTTGTTTAACTAGAAAACAGAAGGTGATCTCTAAATTGTTTAGTTGGCATTTTGTAACAGTCGAGTAACAAAGAATATTCCTAAATTTCCTTCATCCACAAGGATTTCATTTCTTGGTTTGATTTCATGTGGTTTCCTGGAAATGTGTGCACTATGACCTTGCAGAGCATCCTCCCACTCCATGCTCTCATTTCTCCCTCAGGGAGCCAGTCCTTTACAGCTGAAGGTTTTTCTGGGCT